TAGTTATTACTGGTTATTAATATGGGTGTGGTCTCAATAGGTCATGATGGTCAGGTTATTATTTGGGATATGCTGGCAGCTGTTCAACTGAAGGTCTTTCAAATTGAAGTTAGTTTATTATTAATATTATAATTATTAATTAAATAATGTACATGTACATGTACATTATTAATGGACAAAATTAATGATAATTTTTAATAAAGATCAGTACTGAAAATTTGACATGTTTTCTCATTGAATGGGGGATAAGTTTCACTTAAAATTTAGTTACTTTTATCTTAAATCAGGCAACACTTTTTTGTTAATTTTCACTCCCAAAGTGAGCAACAATTTTTACCTTAGAATGTGATAATTTATTTTCACTCCCAAAGTGATATACACATCATAAGTACATGTACAAGTATCATAAAATATACTCAAACTATTATTATACATACCCTCCCTCCCTACCTAATGCACTGTACTGTATTATTAAGTATACCCTCGCCCTCCTCCCCTACAGTATAAGGATGAAGGTGTTCCTTGTATATTTGACTGCAAGTGGTCACCTGATGGTCTAACTGTAGCAGCTGCTGACATCTTTGGATATTTAACAATATTTGGATTTGGATCAAGCACTCCTTATGAACAGGTAATAATAATAATAATAATAATAATAATAATAATAATAATAATAATAAATTGATGATAAATTTATTATTATTATTATCATAGCACCCAGAAGAGCAGTTCTTTCACACTGATTATCGTCCGTTAATGAGGGACAGGAATAATTATGTGGTAGACGAACAAACTCAATTACCTCCTCATCTGTTACCACCTCCTTATTTGGTAAGAGTGGGCGGGGCACTAATAACAACTGCCACACCTACTCATGTATAACACACGATTTAGCAAAGAGAGCGTTATACATGTACATGTATTTATTAGACTGTACTGTAAGTGGTTTTTAGGGCAAATTAATGCAAATTATTTTTGTGAATTTAAATTCCTTTCTGATTTGTGAAAAAATTCACAATTGGAAATTTGTTAGATTTCGCAAAATATAATTTCCTTGAAAAAAAACGACTTACATGTACATGTACACAATATAGCAAAGAGAAAGTTGTACATGTATACATGTACATGTAGGTACGTGTACTGTAGATGTTTTAATTTGCTACCTAAAAAAAGTACGTGTACGGTGTAGAATTTTAGCCTTTTTATTGGACTGTACATGTACATATAATTGTACTTTTAATATTTATAATTCTTCATTCCTCCTCCTCCTCCTCTTCCTCCTCCAGGTGGATATTGATGGTCACCCGTACCCAGTGAAGTACCAGGAGAGTATACTGAAGCACTTAAGAACAGGAACTAACGCCCACTCACTATCAGCTGATAGACCCACTGATGATACTGAGGACTATGATGAATATATGAGGAAACACTTTGCACAGTTTGATAAAGAACGGAAAACCTTTCAAGAGAGGAACAGGAGATCAACCCAACCCACTGCCACGCCCATCGAGAGTGACATAACACCTTCCTTATTAGGAGACGTGGCTCCACCCACTAACACAAGTACTAACGACACGACACAAGATAACAGGTAATTAAAATTAATTAATTAAAATACAGTATAGTGCAAAATTATTGAGGGTTGTAAATTTGCCTTAAGATTTGTTATGTGAATTTAATTTTTGTGAATTTATACCGTCTGCCATCTTGTGTCCTAAGAATTTGATTTTTGAGGAAGTAATTTTTGTGAATCTTCAAAGAATCACAAAATCTGTGAAACTTACAGCTCTCAAAAATTTTGCGCTATACGATAATTTTTGCTCCTGACCCCACCCCCTGCAGTGCTCCTGATGAAGTGGTTGATATTATTGAAGGAGATGGTGGAGATCAGAACATTCAGAACATGCTCTCATCCATAGTCTACTCACTGGGGCTGGACGAGGGGGAGACACTGGTTGCCATTAGCAACTGGCACAAGAGGCACATTCTACCAACAATTGACTCCGCAACTATCAGGTACCACTGGACATGAATTAATTTGTTTATTTGTTTGTTTGTTTGTTTATAGTTCAGAGCAGGCCAGGTTGTATGAGTTAAGGTCACTGGAGAATGAATGGATAGAAACTGAATCAAATAAAATAATACAATTACCAACACCAGTGAGAGAATATATACTGTACACTTGTACATGTTTGTTCACTTTAAATTGTGTATGTTGATTTTTGTCAGT